CTCTTACTTTATTTGCTAATAAAAAAAATCTCTAAATATGAAGCGAGTTGACATGAAGTTTAAATGATCACTGGTTTATAAAAGGAAGGAATGAGGCAAGATTTCTGTATTGAAATATCAAAGATATCCTTTATTTTTATAGATAATGTACTTGATTCAAATATTGTTTTCTGGTTCTGTTCAGTATTTCCCTTTACTTGCACATTTGCAACACCCAGATTCAATTAAAATGTTTTTATCCTTTTCCTCCTTAGAAAGAAAATACAAAATAAAAAGCAAGAAAGTATCAATGGGAATAAACAAATATCTTTGCACCATCATAATCAATAGTCAAAGTTGGAACTAAACAAACAGAAAAAAAAACACTATTTTTAACCATTCATAATTGAAGATGAATAAAAATGTGGTCATGTGACAAGAGATTTTCAAGAAACCAGCTATCAAAATGACAAGTCAACCAACTTGACAGATTGAAAACAAAAAATAAACTACTCCCATACTAAAAAAACAAATTTCATAATGTCAGTATCAAACAAGATTCAAAGAAGCTATAAACACAATTGTGTTAATTTTTTATGTCTTATGGCATGATGTTAGTTTGTTATAACTTTGGTTTACTGAACAAACAGGGAAGTCAGAAAAATGTTTAGGTTTTATCAAAGGAGAAATTAATTCAAAGTGGAAAACTAAAAGATTTTATAATTAATGAGATATAATGTGAATGGTAGTTATAATTGTCCTAGTGTAAAACACAACTGGTGTAAAAGATACTATGATTAAAAGCAAGAAAAAGTAGAATGTTCTTGGTACCAATATTTATTTTGCTTTATTCTTATCTGCAGGACATAAGATTTCTTTCTTTTAACTTGAGTCTTATTATATCCTGTGATGTAGGCAAATCAGATTTGAAAAAATAAATACAAACATAGATAGCTTCCATATTTTGTAATAATGAAAAATTAGACCACTGACAACACTTAAAAAAATATTTTTCAAAGTGGTTTTTAAATTTTAATCAAAAAAATCTTATTTAGATATAACAAGGGTTGGTTGGGATAAAACATTATCAAAAACAAAAAATAACTGAATTACTTTGGTTTTTAATTTTAAGATGAAAAACATTTTAAAATGTTATGACATTTGTTGAGACCAACAGCTATAATTCATAATTCTTTTTAGATTTTTTTCAAAAAATTCTCTAATTTCATATTCTCTATGTCAGGGTCATGTTGCCATGGAGTAATGGTTAGCAAACTAGCTTTGTAAACTATTATGACTCCAATGAGTTCAATGATCCCAGTTCTATAGTCTTGTGCCAGATTAAGCTATATATATATATATATATATATATATATATATATATATATATATATATATATCTTCAAAGATTAAAGCCCTTTATGAAAATCACATGAACAACAATTTCACTGAAAAATTTGTAAAGGTTCTATTCAACATGTAAACTAAGTATAAATATAGCTGTCACATTCATATACTTTTTCGTAGCTGACGTTGACTTTGAAAGTAACACTGATGAGAGATGATAATCGATTATATCAAAAAGTTGGATCTTGGTAAAAATATACATTTATCTAAATCTAACAAATTATTTTAAAATGTATTTCTTATGCTTTCCAATTAAATTTTAACCTACCACTTTCTGGTATGGAAAGCTACATCCATACTCTAATTATCAACTGAACTAAGAGATTCTTGAGATCATATTCAATATTAACAATTAGCTTGTATAATTCTTTTATAAATGGTGCCTTTCCAATAATAATAATATTTTATTTGCATTATTTGAGCTGCTATCCTCATATTCATTATGATTTTGACTGATAAGCTCTCCAGTCAAATACATCATAGTCAATAGTCTTCAATTTGTTTTTATTTATCTTTTGTAACTCCTCACAAAATTCCTTTAGAATTGTAAATATTTTTGACTGGCTCAAAATCAAAATGCATACAGAGTGCTGGTGTAAATGTCTCGTGCAACCCCCACCGAATCTATGTTATGGATCCTCCCCAACTACCACTCTCAATTTTCATAAGGTAGTATTCATATAAATTACAAATATTATTGTAACTTAATTATGTACAATAATGGATCATATGCAATATAGGTGAAAAATTCAACCAGAAAAATTGAAAATAAATACAATGTATCTAAACATAAAGTAGAACCATGTCTTCATAGATCATTCTATCTTAAATAAATCAACAATGTTTTGTGGCAGTTTTTAACATCAACTTGAGATTTTTCTTATTAAAAAGTTAAATAATTTTAACATTCAACATTATGGATAAAAAAGTGTTTTTTAAGACTGAGCATGAGCAAAACAAATTCACGGATTTGGATTGAGAAAAAAAGACCCAAGAATGATGTCAAAATTTATGACAATTTTCCATCCTTTAATAGTCAGATGTGCTTAGTTTAATTTGTAATGCATATAAATATAGGCAGAAAAAAGCAAATGTTGATAAGATAGCAAGGGTTACAAAGCATTGCCTGGGGCCCCCAATCAGGCCTGCCTGACCCTGTCTGAGATAGTATGCACCAGCCATACATATACACAGCAAGTTTTGGTACTTTGTTATGACAATTTTAAAGTGGTTTGATTTTATCAGAAATAATTGTGCATCTAACTTAATGATTTGAACTTTGCACTTTCCTTTCTGTATAATTTCTGAATGGATATGACTGACAAAAATGACACACTGTATGTTTTATGAATTCAAAAAGGGGTCATCAACTGTAGAAGCTGTAAGGAGTATTTGCAGTGATGATGGAGAAAGTCTTAAGTATCAGGAAATGTCAGTAATGGATTATCTTACACTCACAGATTTGCCTCATTCCAACTTTAATCAACAGTCAAGCTCTCTGACTGAAGAAAATCCTAAGCTCCTAAGCTGACAGCACAAGAAATGACACAACAATTCAATATAACCCTTGACAACAATAACTCATCTTTATAACGTTGGTAAAATATCAAAACCTGGCATACATAATCTGACTAGTTCTCAACTTAAACAAAGAGTAAACATGTTTGTCGTTATAAGATTAAATATACTAACTGAACCACTTTTGAAAAGATTATCACCAGTGATGAAAAATGGGTTCTTTATTTTTTTTTTAATATTGTACACCCAATACAAGACCTAAGTGTCACATAGGATAGAGGGTTATTGATTTTGGATGACTCGAAGGGGTTAAGATTGTAGGAACATCCCTTTGATTCAATAAAAATAATAATGATTATGACTTAAGAAAAATCCTGTGTCTATAGCAAAAGTAAATATATACAGCAAGAATACAACTCTGTTTGATAGAATAGAAAGGCTGTCGTCTATAATGAAATATTTTAATGAAATGTTCAATTCTGACAGATATTGTCATCAACTGAAAACAATAATCTTTGCTGAAAAAAGTGAGCTTCCCCAATCAGTCAGTAAGATGAATGACAATACAAGATTACATGCGGCAAAATACAAGTAGGATAAGATTTTGCTTTTGGATATTGAAAATTTGGTTCATTCAACCTACACTCTTGACTTTATTGATCACCCTTTCATATCATTATGATATTTCTTGAATCAGAAACACTACACTAATTATGAGGAGGTTAAAAAGAGATGGTTTTGCCTCAAAATGAAAGAAATATGCCTGAGGCACTTAATAACTTACCTGTTGTAGGGGAAAGTGAAAGAAATTATTATTACTTTGAAATAAATTTGTAATTTATCAAATATAAACCAATTATATATTTCAATGTGAATAGTGATATAACATTATATATATATATATATATATATATATATATATATATATGAGTTTGTGACCTTGGGTTTCATGCTTTTGCGATCATTAAAGAAACTGGTTTATTTTTTGAAAATTGAATCTATTTATGCTTGTTTGTGTTTGATTATGTTTGGCGGAGGGAAAATTCTCCTCTGTTTCCATTTTGGGATGACACTCTTACTCACACCGACCTCGGTGTGGTGTAATGGTTAGCAAGCTTGTCTCGCTAGATCAGTTACAACTGAAAAGTGAGTTTGATCCTCACTAGGTGTCCCATACTTTCGGCCTTGTGCCACATCTAAGCTACACTTAGAAAATAACTATATATCTGAAGATTACATGAGTGTGGAACTCAGGTTATGACTAGGGCCATCCTTTTGTAGGATTTAATGTTGTTAAGTGTTTTTTGCTTTGTCTAGGCAATCTACACTACAAACTTTACTGAGCAGGTAGTTCTACTTTTAGGCTTTTTTTCTTACTTTTTTCAGTAATGTCGTTTTTATTTGAGACTTTATCAGGATAAGAGTTTTAGGTTTTGGCATGTTGTCCATTGGTTCCATCAACAGTTTTGTTTTTCTTTAATATATATATATATATTATATATTAGGTAATGAAAAATTTGGTAAACCATATGGATAATCCCAAGGAGGATTTAATCCAGAGAGCTCAATGTCAAACCAGAGCAATTATTAAATCAATTTAATTAGAAAACACACAACCTTAAGGGTCTATTGATTATATTTCATTTCCCCAGGCAGGTGATATTTACCTGGTTCATCAGATCACATTTCCAAGGGTGAAAAAATATATACAAGGGGTGATGAATAGTTCTTGATTTTCTCCCCCAAACCTGTACAAATTTCAGATTTTTTAAGGTCTTTTAGGCCAAGAACTTTTCAGCACTACTTCAAATAAAAACAAAAGAGAACTGCCATCACGTGTGTTAATTTTCTTTTAAGCCGAGCTGATATTTGATGGAGGAAGAAGTGGAAAGCCTGCTGACCAAAACAATGGTTCAGACAAAGATTGAATAATACTAGATCTTCATTTCAGAATTACTGAATGTGAAGAAGGCCATAGTATACACAAAGCTGAAATTAAAAACAAAACACAACAAAGATAATAATAAAACTTAATCACAAAAGTTTAGTCTTTTTTTTTTTTAATTTTATTTAAAAAGAAAAAAAAAAGGTCTTACCTTTTAATTGCTACCAATTGTGATGTGTCTTGCTTCCGAGCCAGTATAACACTGCCATAAGTGCCATCTCCAAGCTGCTTAATGGTATGATATTGGTCCATAGTGTAAAGCAGCTGTAAGACATGTGAGACACTTGGAAGAGAAAGGAGATTAAGAGACAACAAGGAATTGCTGAAGTGACAATCTGTAAAAGTGTGGAGCTGAGGTTTCTTGTCCTTGTGTCAGACTTTGGATAAATGACAGTATTGTTGGTGCGTGAGGAAGATGAGAGTATGAATAAATAGGATTGGTACAGTTATTGATTGCCAGAGGCATGCCAGAAGAAGACAGAGCTGGATATGTCCTAACCCAGCTCTGTCCAGAACAGAAATACTTCACAGACGGCACCAATCTAAAAGAAAAAAGAAAATTAATTTTAAACATACATTTCAAAATATAGTTAAAAACAATTTGTAATTTTCTATTCTTAAATAAGCATCGTCTTATAAGAATCTCATAGCAAACTAGAAAACACAAAGCAACAAAAACAGCATTTGAATGGCAAACTTTTTTTATATATGGAAAGCTTTAATAGTTAAAAATATTGTGCTGAGATTTTATGACTGGATTTGAAAGATGTAATTATGTCATTCCTATTAGGGGGGATGTCAGGCATCACTCAGACATGAGTGAATGCTACTTATCCTTGAAGAAAGTTGACTAACATATCAGCTGGAAGTGTGTTAAGAATAACAAAGGTAGGGACAGTCATTTGACTAATTTGAATGGAAATATTTTAGCCAATCATGACATTTAAATGAAGTGTGTCAGCTGCTATATCAAAATGTCAAAAAAGTTTAAAAAGTTAAAGAAAAAAAGAGATCAAAATTATTGATAGAATGGATTCTCTAGGTTTAAATTGTGTTTTAAAGCAAGCATCAAATCAGGAATGAATCATGTCATACACATGAAAAGTAGAGCAAGTATTTGGCATTTGTAAACAGATATGAGAGCAAGAAAGTAGAAATGCATTTAGTAAAATTCAATATTTTACAATTCCTGCTTGTTTAGTCAGGATAAAAATTAAGCCTTCCATTTGAAAGTAGAGAAAACAGACTGGCAGAAGTACCAGGCAGACAAACAATTCAGAAAGAATAAAAGACTTTCCAAAGCATTATTAATTTGGTGACTCATGTTGACACTATCTGGGATTACAAATGAGTAAAGCAGTAATGAAAGAATTGAATAAATTGTAGTTTTTGATAAATCTTCACTGAAGATTCTGTTTTTAGAAAGACAAATGTTGTCACATTCTCAACAGAAGCACATAAATAATTGATCAGAAATAAATAGAATTTTGTTGTCAGTGGTCTTTTTTTTTCTTAAAAAAATGGGGATTATAATCTTGGCATATTTCATTGCAACTTACTTTTGGTAAAAACAACAGCCATTAATCATGGAGAAATGTCATGAACATTGGACAAGTATGCAATGTTAAAAAATAAGGACCTGTTAATGGTGACTTTTGCTATATTTAAGGCTAAAACAATGAAATGATACCTGCAACAACAAATACAGATCTTTTCTCTTCTATAGATTGTAATTCTTTTTAACAGAAGCTTATTGTATCAGCATCAAAGTTCCATCTTAAGCTGTGCATGAGTGCACATGTTTTGCAACTTGTACACAAAAGATTACCTACCTAGAATATTTAATAATTGTTAATTATATGTAAAAATACCAGGATACTAATTTATACTATTTATATTGCTTGGACTGTTGTCTTCATCTTTGTTGTTATATTCACAATATTTCAGCCATTGTATGCTTCGACCTTCTCCAGACGATATGTTGGAATTTTGAACTGAACCCTTTATTTCATCCACCAGGTAGATTGTTCTAGTTCCACATGCCATGCCTTTTCTGGATATCTCAGATTCAGTTATTTCACTTTAGTAACCAAGTTTGTTTCTGCTGTGGCCAGGTATTGAACTCGCAGATCTTTGGGTCAAGTCACTGGATGACTTTAATCAACACTTTTATCCACTGGACCTTGTGTTTGTGGGTAATAATTTCAAGTTTAACTTTGGATAAGTACACACATATTTTTGTAATATGAAGAAAATTTTCCTATGAGATTTTTGTGTACACTGACTACTAAGAATTAGAGGGAAAACTAATCAACATTGAGTGGAATTGTTAAGGATTTTTAGCTGCAATAAGTGCTAAACTTAAGGAAGAAAAGCCAATGAGAAATGTAGTATAGAAAGATTCATTGATTAATTTGGTCTTTTTTTATGGCTTATCAACCTCTTGCAGATCATTAAAGCCAGAAAACATTTTTAGATTGGTACAACTTTTCAGAAATAATAATGATTCACTGATACAAGTTCTATTAATTAATCCATAGCCTTGAAATAAGAGGCGCATTCATACCTTTCCCACGAGTATTTGCATGTATGTGAATATCACAAGCCTGACTGGAATTGGAACTTGGCTCTCCAATTAGTAATTCTGACCTGTTATACATTACACCACCTGCACATCCAAGTTTACAGCATCTGATAATCCCAGGCAATCACCCATCTAGGTACTGGCCACCCTTGACATTGCTTAACTTTGGTGTTCCTACCGAAATTGGCATTTCAACACGATATGGCTTTAAGTCTGGTATAGAAAGAGTACTCTTATTTTAATAAGTAAGAATTAAAGGCAACATAACAAGGTTCGAGTTTTTAACAACCCAATTACTATGTAAATTAATTTATTTTTTCCTTTCCAAAATGCAAGATAAAAGGAAGAATGCAAAAATTGTAGCTATTTTACTTTTGCTTTCAGTTTCTCTACAAAATAAGAGAAATGTAGAGAAACTGTGAAAGATACAAGTGAAAGGCTATTTGCCCTGAAAAACATCGATTGTTTTCAGACATTTTTATCACAGCTAATCAAACATTGAGTCAATGACTAAGTAAAGATAAAGATCAAGACATCATTTTGCTGAAATTAACTTTTGTGGTAACTCTCAGCTTCCACAAGTTGCCTGGCAGGTTGTGAGTTGAGCTCCCAGCTCAGAAATAAAACAGGCTGTATAATATAGAATAGACTGAGAATGAATATCTATAAAATGGTAATGGATAGCAATATCATTCTGGTTGGAAATGGCTTGGGAGAGGTTGCTGCATAAAGTGTAGTAAATATGCTAAACTGTCCAGACCTGGGATGACATATATGCAAAGCTGATTCAACCTCCCCTACTCCCAGGAAACTACACACAGCTGTCACAAACATTCATAGTAATCGAAGGTGTTTGACACTATTTAATATGCAGACTATTGTCCTCAGAATAATCAAGAACCTTTACTGGCAACAAACAGCATCAGTGAATATACAAAAATAGAAAGGGGCGTAAGGCAAGGATGTATCTTCTCACCAGACCTGTTCAGCCTATACAGCGAGGCAATTCTGAGAGAATTAGAAACCCTACCAGGATTTAGTAGTGGTGGCCACAATCTTAACAACATAAGATATGCAGATAACACAGTACTGATAGCAAACATGGAAAAGAAATTACAAAATCTCCTACAGAAAGTAGTGATGGAGAGTGAGAAGAAGGGACTAAGCATAAATTACAAGAAGACGGAGTGCATGGTCATCAGGAAGAGCCCTAATTGCAATTTCAAGGTCGGGAACACTAGAATGAAGCAGGCGCGGAAGTTTAAATATCTGGGAAGCATCTTGACAGAGGATGGTAAGTGCAACACTGAGATCCATAGACATATTGGGATGGCTAAGGACGCATTCCAAAAGCTGGGCAGAGTATTGCAAGACAGGAGGATTTCTTTGGTAACAAAGAAAAGAATACTGAACTGTTACGTGACATCTGTCCTCCTTTATGCGAATGTTGGACAATTTCCTCAAAGATGCAGAGACGTGAGAGAAATGTAGTTCTATAGAAGGATGCTAAGGATATCATGGACCGAGTGTGTGAGCAATGATGAGATCTTAGATAGGTTGCAAACAAGGAAGAGGATTATACTTAACATCAGGAAGAGGCAGCTGAAGTTTTTGGGACACATAATGAGGAAGGAGGGCCTGGAGAATCTGATACTCACGGGTCAAATAGAGGGAAAGAGAGACATACCTAAGAGACTTAAGCAAGTGGATGACAGAACATGGTCTGGGGGAGGAATCAGAGGGAAGGAACTTGTTGGGAGATACAAGGGATAGAGGGAGGTGGAAAGCCATGATCACCTACATCCTGAAAGGACATGGCACATAAAAAGAAAGAATTGTCCTCATCTTTGTTGTTGTTATCACAACATTTCAGTCATTGTGTTCTCCTGGAAACTGGCCGATGTTGTGATTGATAAGCCTGGTAGAATTAACTTTACATCTCTACATCTGTATAGGAATGTCAGGTGTTTTGATATCTGTGCCAGTTTCTGAGTTTTTACGACCACCTCCATTTTTCTGCTAAAACATTGTGATGACAATAGTCCACATATAATGTAAATAGCCTTAGATACTATGAATATTTATGACAGATGTGTGTAGTTCACTGGGAGTGGGGAGGTTGAATCTGTTTTATAATCTGGTCTGTTTGATCTAAACAGCAGAAGAAAGCCTTTCAGATTTAAATAAATTGTAGATAATAAATATATATAAAAATAAAATTAAAATATTTGAGAGTTCAAAGGTGTTCATTTATTGTAATTATTCATATATAATGTGATCATCCAGGCTATGAATTCCTGGGAAAAAAATATCTCTTGCTATATACACTGATAATTTAGAATTTGTAATAATTAAATTTAACCTAAATTTATCATTTATTCAATTTTTTACTTTTTTTTTTATTGACTAAAAATAAGAATCTAAATCGTTCACAGATACAAAATTCACACAATGTTTAGAGCAAATGCATGAGCATATTGTCACAAAAAACACAAGATTGCAGCAAAAACATAAGCCGACATTAGGAGAAACAAAATTATAAATAAATGCATTCAAGGAGTTAATAGCGATTTCTCTGTAGCAGAATAAAACACAAATGGACATTACTATGACATCTGCAAATGGCATATAAAAAAAAAATGAAAAAAAAAAGTTCTCCCATTTATTGTTCTCTAGCAATTAGCCATGACATAACTGTTCATAACTCCCCACCCACCACTAAATTCAGTCAGGTGTCGTTTCTCATAAACTAAATTCCTGATGTTATTGATCATAATATTTAAGTGATCATATTACACAAGTGTAGAAAAACTGAAGTGAGTCTTAAATGCTGAGGAAACTGGGTAGTGCTTGGTAGGTTATTTAAACTTTTTGTCACACATTACCTTAGATATAACTTAGTCTTGAATATGACAAGGCACATAGCCAAAAAAAAAAAAAAAAAAAAAAGTTTTTGGA